CGTTGGATCTTGTCCCATGGGCTCTTGCGCCACATTAGGTTGTCACATGCTACACAGAAATCCCCACTTGTTGGGTTTGGGCCCATAAGTGATCTATTTTCTGCTGACACAGAACTTTATGTAAAAGCAAAAGGTTATCTCAGTGAGCTCCATGCTGTTTGATAGATAATTTAATGCTTTAAGAGGCAGTGCGTTCAGGTTCCTGTTCTCTATGAACTTTTTTCAGTTCATATGGAGTGACAGTACAAGCGTTTTTGACACCCGCCCCTTGCGCTTAATCAAGCTGGAACAGCAGGAGCAGCTCGAAATCCGTTACTTGTATGTTCAAGGGCCACCGTCTCTGAGAAAAGCCTAATCGGTCCAGGCGATTCAGAGTTGGGGAATATCGACCTCGTCGATGTCGATCGCATCGACGCCGTCTTCAAAGACGACTGTCTGCAGAACACATACACAGTTTTTAACCTCGCCCTTCTACTGAAGATGGTGCTAAATGGGAGTGTGGTAGCATTCTATGACTTCTACCAAATCCCATTCTCTGGCATTGATCTCCAGTAGCTGCTCAGTAGCTACCACTCAAACTAATGTAAGTAGGCAATCCGGTGCTGCACGTTTCTGTGAGGTCTAAATTGGAAGCTTTGACCATTTTGTGCATTGCTAAGGGACATAGCTGCTTGTCCATATACCTAACAGATGAACCTCTGCGGCCTCAACTTCACAGTTGAACGGAAAAAAGGCGAGGGTGACGTAAATGCTGACTTTCCTTGATTGGCACTCCACTTTGGGCATATGGAAATTGACGGGAATAGAATATTTTGAAAAAAAAAACGAGAAGCCTGTTCTCATAGAGCGAGGCGGGGGGGCTTTTTTTGTTCTGGATCACATTCCTATAGCGCACTGACAATTATTCTTACTCCTCCTTCCAACTGAAAATAATTACTGTAATTACTTCCTAAAAACGAAGAATAGAGGTAAACGAGAAAAAATGTCATAACATATGGTCCAGTCCAAAAAGTGTTATAAAAAGCAGCAAAAAGCTGCATTTCACAGTGAGCGCCTCCTAGTTATGAAAACTTATGAGGGCACTGAGGATCTGAAGAACAAGTTCATAAAGTGGTAAGTTGTGATGTTGCTGCAAAGAAAGACATTATTTCTGTTTAGGGTATCCGAGTGCCGATCTCAAAGAGTCGTTATCGAAATTTCGACAGTTTGCTGGACGATCTCAATGCGAATATCAAAATGCCGTTTGGAGTTCGACGACTGACCACACCGATGGGACGCACTTCAATCAATGACATTGACGAGTTGCAGCATTTGGGAAAGTTAGTGTTTTCAAATTTTCCTTGGTTCAAATCTTCAAAGACGGACTGTGCGCTCATCTCCGACGACGGTCCTCGCCAGTAAATGGGTTCGCTGCCGCAATAGAGTGCCACTTCTTCGGGGCTGTAGGGTGGTCGTCCCCGAGTGCAGTCTCCATGCTCCGTCACGCTATCCTTAAGGCTGCATTCATACTTTGTGGCAGCGTCCACCAGCGTTCCGAGCGTCCGGCAGCGTCAGCGACTAGGAAAGTGTAGATATCGATCTAGCGTCTGCCAGCGTCTGCCAGCATCAACCAGCGTGCGCCAGCATCTACCACAGTCCACCAACATCTCGAATTCTTTGACGAGTCACCATTGCCACATATGGGCAACCACTGACTGTGGGGGAAAGTGGACATCTTGCAGTATGGGCTAGTTCTCTAGGACTACTTCAGTCATTTATTGCCTTCACGTGGTGCCATTTTTAGGTAATTGTCAGAAGCATTCTGTCTCGGTTTCATGATATAACACTAAAAATCCCCTTTTTCTGCGAATTCTTTTCTGACTTCTTTAGTATCTATTCTCCCTGAGGCAATCACTGATTCGTGGGCTGTTGAGGTGCGGGACCCAGTTTTCACTCTCTATCACCATCTTCTCTAGTCAGTCCTTTATTATGGACTAACAAGGGAGGCCTTCAGTTTGTGGAGCCCATACTGTATCGTTTCATGCAGAGATGTGTAGTTCATTTTCGTTGCGTCCTTCTGGTAGTGCCAAGAAGGAGCGAAAAAGGTTAACGAGTTCATACAAACTCAACGATGAAAAGCTCTGCTGTCTTT